TTCTATATCATCATTAATATTTTTATTCCTAACATCCGGGACTGTGTCAGAAAATTCTCATCGCCAGAGGTTTCTGTCCCAAAGGAGCCAGAGAAGTCCTGTGAAAGTGACTTTATTCACTTATGAACAAAGGGAGAGGCCATGSGGCATTTGCCATGTGGTCTCTRAAACGCMGCCTTCTTTTTATCACATTTTTCCCTGGCCGCGTCTCCCTCTCCCTTTCCTCCCTGGCTTGAGGTATTTGGAAGGTACCGACTTCCCACCCGCCCAATGCATGTCTTTGATAATATGCATCCTGTTTTTGTACAGCTGATATTTATGTCTCTGTTACGTCTTTATCCTTTTTCTAGAAGTTCAGAAATCATTCTGGTGGCCGTTCAACTTTTCCCCATTTTCACGGCGCTCCATCCAGCCAGGGATGCATCAGTTGACCGCTTTTCTCTGATTAAATCGACCTATACTTGGATTCCCAACTGATTTCCCTGAGCTTGTGGTAGCCAAATCACCCCAGTGCTCTGTTACACCCTATAGAGCACAGACAATGCTCGCACATATTGGGGTGGGGAGGGGGATGATTCCCACACACTTTTTTTAGTGAAGGTTTCACAACATTCTTTGTCTTCTGTTTTCCTTTGCAGCTGAACCCATTTCTGCTGCAGTCACATCTCCTCACTCTGGGCTCTGCTTTAGCTGTGCAAATTCTGTCTCTGCAATCAGAGGTTGGGGTGAGGGGCAGAGGGAATGAGCCCAATTCCTCCCCCGGCAAGAAGGCCCTGGTGCATTGTGCACACTTTGCCCCAGCAGTGTTAATTTGCATTTCTAAAGCTCCTCTCCTGGCTGCCTGGAGCCAAAGCTTCTGCTCCAGGGCAGCCATCGCTTGACTCACATGTGCTCTTCGACATGTGGGTTGTTTTTTTCTTCAGCAATATTCTAATAACTCTTTATGAGTGAAAGGGTCTTCTTTAACCTGTTTAAACATCTTCCAGTTTTACAAAATGCAGCCTAAAGGTGAACATTGTAAGACCCATACCAAAATTTTGCTATTGCTAATACCCACACACACATATGCGCAAGAAAAATGCAAAGCAATAAGGATTTTTGCTACTTCGTGAAAGGCTAAAAATTGATTCCTACACCCCTGGCCCAAACCTCACTGACATACAGTCCCTGGTACAGTGGACCTCTGATACCCCTATCAATCCATCTCCATCAATGGGTGGAATTC